GCATACCGGTTGGTCGCTTGCATTATCTTGTTGTAGAGAACGTCGTCAGAAAACAGTTCAAAGGCTTCACTGCAGGTCGAGCTGCGATGCAGGTGGGGATCAAAGGCACCACCATTACCGGTGAAGCCGTACTTCAGCGTTGTACTGTCTTCATCTGTCCACCGGAACGGTGCGGCACTGCTGCTGCCTCACTTGAGGCGGTCTGTGTACGGGACTGTCTCCTGCGCTTGGCATATACCGCCAAGGGTACATCACTGTCAATTTCTGTACTTGACTGTACTTGAGCAGGTGACAGCGGTGATGAAGAAGACGAAGAACCTTCGTCTGAAGTCGGATAAAACTCGCTTTCACTGGGAGAACCGGACTCTCTGGATATAACTTCAGCCATGTTGTCTGTGCTCTGAATAACACGATACCCAATATGAACACATGTAGCCACTGCACGTCATTTTTATTCTCAAGCAGCGAGGGCCGTGCCCTGTCAGTCAATGTGGGAAGGGCCAGCAGCGCCCGGGCCGGGTCATTCATGGGGCGCCGGTGCATAATGAGCCCGCACAGCCCGCGCTTTGTCTTCAGTGCAGTGCAGCGATAATCCGCTGCGAGTGCCCGGCAGCGCGAACAAATGCGCTCTGCACAAACAGTACACGGATTACCTCCGCTAATTACAGCGCTCTGCGCTGAAAGAATACAGGGATTGATTGGCAGTGCCCGGCAGCTCTCAGCAGCTCGCNACTTTTATTCCAGGCTTTGATAAGTTCGGTCACCCCGGCTATAAAATAAAGTCACAATTCACCGGCCCCAGCAACCCATTTATTTACCAATTTATTTACGGCCAATGATAGCTTAAACTTTTTAACTGACAGCCCAAACTTTTTAAGAAATGCCCAGCAACTTTTTTTTTTTTTTTTATAGTAAAGTTCCGATTTCGGAGTCCCCGGCCACAAATATAAGGCCTATGGCTCTGGTACCGGGCCCCCCGCTGGAAGTGGTTAAGAGATGATCAAGCAAAATACACACATGTGTGTACATACAGTATGTGTATTTAGCTTTCTCTAGGTATATTTCACTGTCTGTGCACCTCGTATGTTGGTGTGCTATACCCAAGGAGACTGGGAACCATACAACTAATTTTTACACACCTGCTGTACATTGTAGACAGCAATGAGCTGTCTAGTTCAGAGGGTTACAGCATGGTCGTGGTAGATCTACGTTGTGGAATTGTTCCCATTGAGCTTTTTAGTGTCCCTGCTAACTTACCGTACCATGTCCGTGCGGAAATCTTGAGCGATCACTTTTGGCCTGGTATTTTTACATCATGTTTACAGTAAGTTGACCGGGACATCAGTTTACCACATGTTCCCATTGGATTTAATTTTGTTATTCTGCAGGAGAGTTGGGGTAAGTTAACCATGGGAACACGGCTTTTGTTGCATGTGCTATGGTGTTGATGCAATGCTAGACCTGTGCGGACGACTATTGAATTCTAGTTGTCATGGTGTCTTAAAACAAAATACAAGGCCATGTTGTCATATAAAAACTTTTGTCAAAAATGCTTGTGATATCCCTTATTCACCTCTCTGCCTACCGTACATGTACTTACTGTACAACCACTTTTTTAGAAAGAAACCTTGATTGTTTTCCACAGTGTGATTGGCAACAACTTTCGAACACATGAAAATCCCATGCATTTATACATTCAGCAATGTCTGAATGGTGCCCAACGCGCGCCTCAGTGCTGTGGTCGCCACAGTGGAGGACAGGGCCCAGTTTATGGCTGGGCTGAATCGGGCCGCAAGCAACCTTCAAGTCCGATTGTTGTAAAAATACCAAATAACTATCGATGGAGAAAGGAATTTGTAGCAGGTTTTATTCATAGAACTTGATTTTGTCTTATTGGTGTTCTCTGTTTTAATCCTAATCTCCCAGGGTGTACAGTACATGTACATGTATATACCAGTACCTCATGTAAAATGATATCAAAATTGGAGGACTGAGGACTGTTACAGTTAATGTCTTTATTTCAAGGTTGCACTGCTCGCACTTGAGGTGATACAGCCATGCAGCGTAGGGAATTTTCGAGAAATTTTATACCGCTGTGGTTGTTGGTTCATTGCTCGTGCGGGCCTGCCACATGCACAGTACAGCTACATGTATGCATGCTGATACTGTGCGATACACGGCCAGTGTGTTTGCCATGCAAACAAAATCCAAGAGTTTGTGACATGCCAACCAATCACAAGATGCGAAATCTTTCAACCCCTTCCAAACGCGCATTGGGTCAACATATTTCACACACTGTGATTGGTCAATGTGTTGAGGCGAACTATTGTGAGACGCCCGTATTAATGCAAGGTTTTGTCACTTGAGAGAGTCGGTTTCAACAGCTTTCGTCCAAACTGCACATTGTCAATCAGGGTTCTCTGTTCTTGGTAGCGCCAAAAAATAAAAGCTTTGACATTTCATAAAGGAATTACTCCTACATATTTTGATGGACTAGTTTCATATGGGACACTGAGTACCTGTAGTTAGCCTGAATGTTAATGAGTCTATCTACATGTGTACTGCATGTTAATATGGGTGAGGTGCATCCTCAGGATTATCGGTCACGTTCATGACTTGGAAACTTCCATTTTCTTTAAGGGGAGGGATGTTAGCTTCTTAAGCTACTGATAATAAAACCCAATTATTATATAAAACGATAATGAGACAGCTCATGATGAATGAAATATTGTAAGATCACTGTTACTACTGTCTGAAAACAACCGTTTTCACTGACAAACATGTCTACATTACAAATGAAATACAGCAAAAAGAAAGAAAGAAATGATCTCTATTCTTTTCAATGAATTGTAACCAGGTGTTGCACAATTCTTCAAATCTCCCTTTTGATGGAAGAGGAAAAATTAAACTTTGGTGTGTACAACAAAATTTGTGGCAGAAGATTCAAATACCGTGTGTACATTCAACAGACACAGGGTAAAGCATAAGTACATGGTTCCACTCATGAATAATAATCTTCAAGCAAGGAGGAATCATATGAAAGATGTAAGGTTTCACCCACGGGTGCTCTGTGCAAGCAATCATGTCCAGATTGGACCAGTTGTCCATATTTATAAAGCATGTACTATATTTCCACAGTGTGTGCAATTTGCGGTGTGTGTAAAATGTTCAACAAACTTCAGTGTGCAAACTGTATATGTACATATACATGGTATATTGCGCATTGCCAGTGTGTGCTGCGCTGCACAACATGAGTACTGTGTTGCGGTGCTGCATTGCGAGGACTGGGTATTCCACTGTGTAGTTGTGGGCACAAATGAATGGTTTCCGGGGGGGGGGTTACGAGGTCTGACCACTTACGAGTCACCACATCATAACTGGTTACTAGTTGACTATGGGGCCGTTCATAAAGTTTGTACGCACGAAGGGGAGGGGGGTTGATGCCATGGCGTACACCATGTGTACAGGGGGGGGGTTGATGCCATTGCATACACCATGTGTACAGGGGGGGGTTGATGCCATGGCGTACACCATGTGTACAGGGGGGGG